AGAGCATCACTTGGTCAGCAAGTCAAGACATACAGTAAAACAAATACATTGGTTATACCTGACCATATGCCATTGGCTCCTATCAGCTCTTACAACTCCATCTCATACCCAGGCTTTGAGGCCTCTATAAAACCAGTATCACAAAGTCCCCACACATCAGCATCATCCACTTCACAGGTGACTCTGGAAGCTGTTTCTGCATAACATTCAACAGCTTCCCCAAGGCTCTGGCCTACCCATTTAGTTTTCCCAATTAAAAAATAAATAAAGTCCAACAATGACATGTTCTTAACATATTCATAATAACTTTAAGAATCATTAAATTGTTTCCAAGGTGTTTCCAGAACAATTGCTTTAGTATTTGATCAGATTCTTTTTTTTCCTCTTTCTGAAGAAAAGAATATCTCTTCCAGACATCTGGTACTTCAATCATTCTCTTAGGACTTTTTAAAGATAAGAATAGAGCTTCAGTCAGACCATCAGAGGGTTTGGTATCCTAGAATGCAATTCATCTATCTCTTGAGATTTAAACTCTTTCAAAGTAAATAGATCTTTGACTATATTTCTCTCAAGACTCAAGCTGGAACTATGTTCCTTGAATCTGTTTTTCATAAACACCCAGTGGAAGAGGTATCCTCTTAGGGAAGACTAATCAAAATGGGAACTGAATAATTCTGCCTTTGTTATCTGGTATCCTTTATGCCATCTTCTCTCAACAGTTTCTTTCTCTCTCTTATTTTCCAATATGTTTGAAAAAAAACTTATTTTGCTTACCAATTTCAGATCATTTTGAGTTTTAATTTTCTTGATAATATCTCTACAAATCTAAGTTAATAATATGGATTCCTTCTATTCCTCTTTCTGTCTCCTATTTGTGGGTATTTTTTAAAAAAATAACTAAATATCAGCTTCTTCTGCGGTTTTCCATTTTTCTTCTTTGTTGGACTTGTGTGCAGTTTTGCTTTTAGTCTCTCCATTTTTCAGAAAGTTTTGACTCGTTTTTTTCCATTAACTACTCCTGCCATATAATCCATTTTCTTCAATTTCAAGGTAGATGTATGATTTCATTTCTTTTTTAATTTCCCCGTAAAATCAAGAAGCGCAGTATTACACAATTACTTTTACCCAAAGTTAATTCTCCAATTAATTCCAGTCTGATTACTCTGCCTTCCTTGTTGGTTATGATCACATCAGAAAAGGCTGATTTCCTTACTGAAAAAGAAAAACTGTCCTTTTTTATTATTCTGGAAAGATCACTAACTCTTTGTGGGACACCCAACACATGTAGGGATAATCAACATTCCCTCATTTCTACTATATGAAAGAGTTGTGATTTGCTTTTGGAAAGTATTATCTAAAAGGCTCTTTTTAAGAATTCTTGAAATTATTTTGGAATTCAGCGTTGGGCTTGTAATAAATTCCACTGAGTTAATATTGACTTCATAAATTATTTTTTTTAAAAAAATGTTTCTTAAACAGAGACACTTCAAACGAATTATATTAACATATATTAAAATAAAGCTTTGTAACTGGCATAAATCTGCCTACTTATTTGTTTTCTGTCTGCAGGTATTTTGATAATATGTACTAATACAGAATACATTATTTCTCCATTATAAAGACTGACAGCTTGGTATCCAAATCTTCGGATGTTTGTTTTGTTTGTTTGTTTTCAATTTTATTTTCAGAAAAGGCATATGACTTTTATGAAAGAGGGTACAATAGAAAAAATAATATATAGTTTATAATACATGATGTAGTTATATATTAGCTATTAATACAGTTCTGTGCTGAACACCATTTGAAAGAAAGATCAGAAAAGCTGAAAACATTTGATAAGATTTAGCAGTTCAAGTAGTCGTTTTCTAACAAACACATTGGAGCTGGCAACTCTGTCATTAAGTTAATTAGTCGCTTAGTGAAACCACAACTGTAGTTATGAAGCTTTTCTTTATTTTACAAACCTGTAAAAGTTGTAAATGTGAAAATTAGTGCAGTTACTTTTTCATCACCATCATAACCAGGAATGGTTGCTAAATAAGGCGCTTGCTAAGTAAGATGTACTCTAATCCAATATATCTAAGACCATAAGAGATAAACCAGATATCATAAAGATAAGAATGATGTTGCAAATTATCCGTTTAATAAGGATTTCTTATAATACATCATAAGCAAAGACCTTAAGGATATTTCACTCTTTCCCCATAAGCCCAATATACTGCCAACTAGTTACTTTTAGAATGCAGCCGCATAGTCATATATATGTCTACGTAAAAATAAGTTTTTCTGAGTTCAGTCAGACTAAAGCTCATCTACTGTAAAAAAAAATAAATGAAATGAAATGTGTTAAAAGTATTGTAAATTTAGAGTCCTATTAAGTGAGTGAATGTCAGTTTGGTCTAGTGATTAAAGCACCAGGTTAGAAACCAGGAGACTGGAAATTCTAGTCCTGCCTTAGACATGATAGCTGGCTGTGTGACTTTGGACCAGTCACTCTTTCTCAGCCCATTATGTCAGGCTCTGGAGATAAGCCAGTCAGTCAATTTCTGTTGCAACCAACAGATCAATACTCGATTGATCCAAAAACAGCATTCCCTGCACTTGCACAAAAACGCTAGGAAGAAAAAGGTGAACAGAGGATGCCAGTTATTTAAAGACAATTAGGATGAGGTAACAGAAGGATCCTCAGCACTATACATCAGGGTGAAATCCAGCAGGTTCTGACAGGTTCTGGAGAACCGGTAGTGGAAATTTTGAGCAGTTTGGAGAACCGGTAGCGGAAATTATGCAGTATCCTTCCCCTGCCACGCCCACCAAGCCATACCCACAGAACCGGTAGTAAAAAAAATTGGATTTTACCACTGCTGTACATACAATAAACAGAATGGTCATTTCAAACTTATGGGATACATTTGGACCCTGGCCTTCTTGGGCAGTTAAGGCCTCCTGGGTGGAGGCATGTGGTTGGATTTGGATGGTGCCAACTGCTTTGGACCTGATTGTGATAGACAACTTTTGTCCAGTAGGCACTCAGGGGACTCTGGATGAAGCAGATTATCTGGACCCTTTTCAGGCAGAGTTCAGGGGGGGCTATAGCACTGGTTGTGTCTGGATAATCTTTGGAGGGCTCAGGATGGGGGAGGGAGGAGATAAATCTATCCTGGCCCTCTTATAACTCTCAAGTGGCATTTGATACCATTTACATGGTATTCTTCTAAGCCAGCTCCAGCACACAGTTTTGTGATGATTTTCTTCCTTCCTCTGTGGTTGGTTCCAGACAGTGCTGGGGGGTCGTGTCAAACTCCAGGTCCTTGCACTGTGGGTTACTTCAGGGCTCAGTTCTCTCACTCCTTCTCTATATGAGGTCACAGGCAGAGATCATCCATTGATGAGCTGAACACCACAGTTTGTTCATACTATACTGCGGCTGTGTGAATTTCTACTTTCTTTCTAGGTAAAATTCAAGGGGATGGTTATCATCTTCAAAACCCTGAACGTATGTACTCATTCTATCAGGGTGGATATGGTACACACACTCTAGGTCTCGTTCCTTAAATGTTGTCATCTGGTGGGACTCAGGTAGTGCACCTTTTCCCCTGGGATCCAACAGGGGAAGCCTTTGGAAAGCCTCAAAGAACTGGCTTTCCCCACAAGCACTGAGGTAGAGTGAGGTCGGAGCTCAGCAAAATGGAATGCTGATGTGTAGAGAAAAAAATTCTTTGAAATAGCAGGAGTTTTTGTTATGGTTTGATGTTTTCTCATTGTTTTGTGAACTGCTCAAGGTTATGGTACATGAGATGAACAGTCCTATAAGACTTGTACATGAATAAATACATACATTTATAGTTATTAAGATGGCAATGCACAGGTGGTCCTCGACTTACGGTCACAATTGAGTCAACAATTTCTGTTGCTAAGCAATATAGTTGTGAAGCGAGTCACTACAGTAGTTAAGTTAGTAGCATGGTTGTTAAGCGAATCTGGCTCCCACATTGACCTTGCTTGTCTGAAGGTCACACAAGGTGATCACATGATGCAAGGCACAGCAACTGTCATAAATATGAGTCAGTTGCCAAGCGTCACATAAACACATGATCATGGGGATGCTGCAATGATCATAAGTATGAAAAACGGTCATGTCACTTTTTCAGTGCTGTTGTAACTTTGAACAGTCACTAAATGAACTGTTGTAAGTTGAGGACTACCTGTATTTGTCTATGCCCAACCTCTGGTCCATTGATCAGTACCAGTCCACAGCCTGTTGGCAACTGAGCCATGCAAATAATGGGTGAGCATATGAAGCTTCGTTTGAGCATGCGCAGGATCTAGATTGCGCATGTGGGGGGGGGGGGAAACCCACTGCTTCCACTGCCACTGATCCGTGAAACCAGAAAGGGACCTCTAGTTTTTGCTTCACCCTGCAGATGACAATCATTATAATATATGTGGGTGAAGTTTTTGCTTCACTCATGCAGATGACAATCATTATAATATATGTGGGGAAATCATCTCTAACATTCCAGATGCTATATTCTTGGATTTTCCATCCCAATATATCTGATGAGCCTCAAGTTGGGAAATTGTTACTTAAGAAATAATACATATATAATTTTGCCAGCATTCTTCTTTCAAGCCAACTTCTGAAGTTTCTGCTAAAATAATTTCCCTCCAGCTTTACAGAACTGAACACCTGCTTTTGCCAGTATTTTTTAAATCTGCTTTTAAAATAGAATACATAAACATAAATCTGAACAGAGTATAAAGCCCACAGCATTGGCAGCCTAATTATTAGTATCACAATTATATTGTTGTTTGTAAAATGGAGTGATATATACCAAACACCTGATTCTAATTGCACTAAATAAACCAATACAGCTAAATGGGAGAAAAAGACAACAAAAGTTGCTTGAATAAAGCTGCTATTATAATTTCTCTGCTTTCAGTTTTTGGCATGTGTTAATGTTTTAACAGAATATTTAAACAAAAGCAGTTACAATTACCTGAAGGAGGTCACTGAGGTCAAGCAGCATGTCTATTCTTGAGGTTAAGGAACTTAAGAGCATAACATTCCTAATGTATAATATTTGACTGTCAACAAGAAAAAGACAAAAAACATTTTATTCTGGAAGCACACAAAACAGGACATCTAAATATTCCAGTTCTTAGCAAAGAAACGGTGAGGACTTAAGAGGGGGAAGGAAGGATGCAGACAAGTATTTAAATTGGATTTTGCTCTTGGCTTTATTTGTTATAAACTTTGCTTAAGGTTTAAATGGTTATCTTGGCCAACAATGCATACAGATTTCAAAACAGAGCTGAATGTTAAGAGGCACAAAACCTCTGCCAAAGTTTAGCAGCCTCTGTGCCTAACATAGCAACTGTCACAAGGAATGGAGAATAAATCTTAATAAAATCCAGAATCCCAGACTTCATTTCTCCAGTCTTTAACTAAAACATGATTTTTCCTCAAAGCCTTCTATAAAAATAGTTATGGGTTGTCCCAAAATCAGGATTGCTCTGTGAACCCAACCTCCAATTCAAATTCTGGTCTCTACTAGGTTCTAGTAAATTGTACATGTACCTTTAGTTCAACATATGCAGCATTATCTAGTAAATATTGTCAAAAGAAGTGGGAAGCATGTCCAATTATACATTGGACATCCCAAATTTCCACTGTATCTCTATTTTTAATTATCATTGGGCAGCTCTGCCCTTTCTCCCTCTGCCCAAATCTGTTCACTTGCAGTCCATTTTATTCTCAAAATCATTTCAGAAGCAGACTGCTGCATTTTGGAATAAAGTACTAAGCTTATTTTCCTTTGAATCAACATTATATTGTACCTAAGTGGTTGTTATCCTCCAGCAATCTTGGGTTTTGTTTATATTTATTTTAGTCACATTATTTTAATGAATAGTTGTCATATTGTTTTTATTTGCTGCTGGCTATACACTGCTCAGAGTCACATTCTTTGAGATGGGCAGCCATATAAATTTGCTAAATAAAGAAATGTATGTAAATCATTCAGCTGAGTAAGCAACATACTGAATATTAGTTTGATTTAGTTCAGTAAATTGCCAAAATCCTTGTATTTTATTAGGTAGAAATGAGGTATCCGTGATCATTTAACTAGCAAATCCTTAATGAAATCAATAATACTTACATTAATTTATATAGTAAATCTTAATTGTTCTAATACTGCAGATGAAGAAACAGAAGCAGATAGTGATTTATTTACTGCCATAACAGAAGTAAGATTTAAGGAAAAAACTCCGTAATTTACTGTTTAGTTGTCAATAAAAATGCACCACACTACAAGAATATGATGTGCAATTTCGATACAAACGTGTGGTATGCAGGCTTTTTAAAAGTATGCATATATTGTGTTAGAGTAAAATGCAAAGATCTACTGGTATTGTAAATCAGTCATACTTAGCTTAACATAAAAAAACAAAACCACAGAGGCTGCATTGATTCTTTGGGTTCTTCTTACATAAGCTATACAAGTTTACATTGCCTGCATAAGCATATCCAACTTCAGGCAAATCTTTTACACAGACACATCCTTAGACCACTATTTTACCAATAGAAGAGGGTGTGGCTTTATTAGTGTTCCAGAATACTCAGAAACAATTTTGTCAGCCTCCAATCAGTTCTTACTAGCTCTTCAAAGAAAAGCTATATAAAGAAGAATCTGTACATGTAAAAGCCAGTTCCCAAATTTGAATGACCTTGAAACAAAGGATGAAACTATGCAAACAGCCAGAATGGACTTATAGTCTAGTTTGTAATTTTGAGGTCAGAAGGTTGGGTTTTTATGTTCTTTGAAGGTATCATTCTCTAGTTTCCTTATAAATTAATCATTCACTCATATGCAACAAACCAAAGCACTGTACTGTAGAGCTTAATTACTTTTCCTTGGAACCAAAGTTAAATAAGTAAACATAGCTAGTCTTTATTCAAGGGGAGGGGGGGGGAAACTCAGTTGTTAATCAAAGCTGTTCCTATGTGAAACCGTGATTGTTGCTATGATCTCACTTCAGGTTTCCTTTCCTTCCCAGACCTGCCAATGTCATAATGAGGATTGGTAGTAAAGTTACTTTTACATCAACAAAGCTGCTAAACAAGGCAGTTATTAAATAAGGACTATCTGTAGTTTACTCATGCAACACTCATAGAAAAGTCAGAGGACAATTTTCATTAATTTGCTATCCCCTACATTCCTTAAAAACTTCTAAAATAAAATAGATACAGTAAAGGAGACTGCGGAAAAAACATAGATTAACTCATTTGCATTCTCTACAAATGTAATTCACTGACAAGCATCTAGGTCCTAATGAATGAGAATTCATCAGAAGAGTCTCATACTGCATTTTAAATGTTTTAGTAATAAGGAGGTAACTTCAGTGCTAATCCTGGGACTTTTTGCTAAAAGAAAACCAGTACAAGATACAGTTAAGAAGTGCTGACAAGATCAAATCTACATTAAATTTCTCTTCAACTACTAAATTACTTGAGTTTACCCCAATCCCCAGAAATAACGGAGGGAACTAAATCTGAAAAAGTTAAACATACAGGTAGTCCTTGACTTACAACAACATAAAGTTATGATGGAGCCAGAAAGGGTGCTTTATGGTCCATAAAGCACTTCTGGCCATTGTAAAATATCTTATATGCACCCCATGGTCATGTGATCAGATTTTGGGCACTTGGCAACTGGCTTGCCATGTACGACTGGTTTTATTTTACTTATTTGTATCCCAAGGCAATAAACATATCCAACACATCTTCCTCCCCCTATTTTCTCCACACAACAATTCTGTGAGGTAAGTTGGGCTGAGGAATAGGGAGTGGCCCAAAGCCACCGAGATGGCTTTCGTGCCTAAGATAGGACTAAACTCTCAGTTTGCTGCTTTCTAGTTTGGTCTTTCCAGACCACTAGACCAAACTGGCTGCCAAGCACCAATGCGATCAAGATTTATTCAGCTTTCCATCCTGCCGAGGTCAGTAAATAAGGACCCAGATTGTTGGGGTCAATATGCAAATACATTGTAAACTGTCCAGACAGTGCTGTAAAGTGCTATTGGGTGGTATACAAGCCTAAATGCTGTTGCAATTGTTATTGCTATTACCATTTGCTTCACTTAACAATTGAGATTCTATTCCCAATTGTGGTTGTAAATTGAGAACTATATGTAATCTATCCTACTAAAGCAAACAAAATGTTGGATTCAGTTGAGTATGGGTGGAATAAAAATGCATTAATATCTATACAGGTAGTCACTTCTAGGTAGTAAATCTTACAGGTCATAAATCATCCCGGCTGTAAATTGAAACAACCATGGAACCATACCCAATTTTACAATATTTTTTGAAGTGGTCCTTAAGCAAACCTGCAGTTATTAAGCAAATGCTGAGGTCATAAATGTGGATCCATTCTTCTGAATGGGCATTTATTGCCAAAAACTAGTAAAAACTAGCTCACTTTAATTTTAAATATTTATTAAGTGATCAGATTGCATTTAGCTGCATAGCAACTAAATTTGAGTTGCATAGCATTTAAAACATTTCATGTATACTTTCTTAATATCATGTTTCCCCGAAAATAAGGGGAACTCTTATCTTCTTTTGACCCCCGCAATATGGCCTTGGGGGGGGTCTTATCCCTAAACTTCAGCAGGCCAGATTCGGTGAGCCAGACTCGGGAGAAGAAGAGAGAGAGGAGGCCTGAAAGAGAGCCCATTTCTCACATTCTTTTGTTCCCGGGTGGCGGCAGCACGTTCAGCTCCCCAAATCTGGCTTGCTGATCTCGGCTAGCAAGAGGGGGGGTAGGTGGGGAGGGGTGGGGCGGCGGAGAAGTGAGATGCCTCCTCCTCTTTCTCCTTCCCTTCTCTGGCTTCTGCTCATTGGGGATCACCCAGCTAAGTTGGATGCCAGAGTGGCCACCTCGGGGACTCTGGCATCCTGGCATAGTCGTCGGCATCGTCATCGTGATTGCCTTCTCCCCCACAACACCCCTTTCTGCCGCCCAAGCATTTAACCTGGCTGGTGGGCTTGTCGGAGCATCCCCCTCACTGCCTCCCTCCCCCTAAGTCGCTCTGTTTCCCGCTTGCCAATAGCAGATTATAAAGAGAAAAAAAGAGAGAGAGCTGGAATGGGGAGGGATCTCAGCTGTCGATGAACCTTTCAATTAGCTCCTCTTATCAAGTCCCGTCTTGGAGCTCCGGTCCTGGCAGATTGAGGCCATTTTAGCATCCGACCCACAAAAAACAAAAAGGTTTGCCGAGGGTGAGGTTGGATTGGGGACGTGGGCAGCGGGCAGAAGGGGAAGGCAACCCCCCACCTCTCCCCAGAGCCAGCCAAGAGACCCCCTCCCCACTCTTCCTCCTCTGCCGCAGGGCTTTTGGCATCCACGGGGGCTGATTGCCACCCATCCATGGGGGGCTCCTTTCCACATGGGGAAACGGCAGAATGTCTCTGCATCCTCCCATTGTGTGGAGCTGGGTGGGCAGGCAGGGAAGCGAGGCAGGAGCCCCCGGTGCTGCCTTCCAGTCAGGGGAGGGAGGGAGGGAGGCTGCTTGCAAAATCCACTCATTGGGACTGCGGGCTCCCCTCCCCCCCGGTCGGGCTCCTCTTCAGCCTTGCCTCATGTCGTGTTGCTTGGGCAGCAGCTGTGCATGTGTCTAAGTATTTGGAAGGAGGGCTTATTTTCGGGGGGGGGCTTATTTTAGCGCATGCGATCGAAAGCCCAATTGGGCTTATTATCTGGACAGGTCCTAGTTTCGGGGAAACACGGTAATTTATATAATTACCTGGTACCAGACCTCCCAGGCCTAGATTCCGGCAGTTGCAGAGGCCAGCAAATCAACAGCTGGACAAACATTTCTATTTCATTTTTTTTCTTTTAAACAGTTTTTATTAGTTTATAATATAGCATACAAAGAAAATGCAAAAGTAAATAGTAGAAAAATAGGGAAGGGAAAAGGGAAGGGAAAAGGGAGGGAAAGAAAAGGGGAAAAAGAAAAAAAAGGCAT